ACTGACCTAACAATCTGACCTGACCGTGCTAACTTTCATATATATATGATATGATCACAAGAATAATTCAGCTGCCAGAAGTTGGCCGTAAAGCCATGTATGTTTTTGAATAATAATAACAGAAAAGCTGAAATTAAAGCAAGCATCCAGATCCTAGAGTATATATCTATCTAGTTTCAGCTGCAGAGATCCATCATATCATATTTTATAGCTCTTTTTTCCATCCAAATTAATTAAACTGACAAAACAAATAAGCAAGGAAGGAACAACGTGGTTATTAGTTTAGATTAGTTGCTTACCGTAGATGTCCATGATGGCCTCCATGGCCTTCTGCTTCCTCATATCGTTGGTAATGGTGGGGATCCAGAGCACCACCTTCTGCTGGCACCGACGAGATTATTCTCTTTTCAGCCATGAAAAAAGAGGAGGGACTGAGGAGATGCATGCATGGAGTCACGAAACCTGATCACAAAAAACATTTTTTCTATGAAAGGACAAGACAAAAATGTGTTGTGTGCTGGCACAGATCACAATTAACAGACTACAATTTCTTATATAGAAACACAAACACAAATATCTAAAATGTGTTGGCACAAATCACAATAAACAACTTTTTTCAATGAAAGGACAAGGACAAAAATGTGGTGTTGATTAATGCTCATCTAACATCCCATGAGACCAACTGAGGCAATATGTCCCTATGCAGGTGCATAAGGACTTCAAGAACTGACAGATGCACAATTTTTAAGATGGACAATTAAATTATGTAAGGACCAAGCTGTAGGAAGCTTAAATTAAGTTATGTAATATTTTTTATCACAAAAAAGGATCATTGAAAGAGGCAGTCCATGTATTCAAATTTCAATTTTACAGAAGGTGCATACAAATGTCCTTTGTTGATGTTTATGTATTTATCCAGTCTTAGCAGCAGCCATTTAGATCAACTAGTAGAAAAAAGACAAATCGAGGAGGAAAATGGTTCAACACCACCGTATTGCATATGCTCAGAACTACAATTGCGGTGTCCGATACTTGCAATTTACATCATTGTTGATTGTAATTATGTAACTAAATGTTTAATTTGTTTGCAGAGCACTTCAACAACTATGTAGTAGAAAATTAGGATCACATAGTTCAGTGGTATACCAAGTGCTATATCAAGGAGCTACAACAGATACAATGTGTGGCTTACATAGATGATAATCTTACATAGACAAGTAAATTTTGGATACATAAACATCTAAACAAACCTAGCCATGATTTAGAGCTAAGCTTGAGCTCATGGTATATAGTATATAAATCTATGACAGTACAGCAATCTTCTATTTGTGTGGCTTTTACTGACTGCGTCTCCTAGATATTTAACAAAGAAATGGTCAATGAGTCAATAATCCAGGGGTAATTTCAATGTTCTTCAGACAGATCATATTTGAGGAGAGCAAGATGCAGCACCATGAGAACTAATAATGGAATAAAACAGTCTCTACAATGAGTTGCTAAAGAAAAATACCTGTCCAGCAATAAAACCATTTAGAATAATTGGTAAGCCACGGATCATCGCCTCTGCAATTGTACCAGGTCCTGCCTGAAGTTCAACATAAATCATGTATCACAACATCACCACAAATTATGTACATGTATCACATATTCAAAAACAAGCTGCATGATTTGAACATGGGAGGCTAATATAAAGCATACCTTTGTAATGATACAATCACAAGCACCCATACATTCTTCCATCTTTGTAACAAAGCCTCTCACCTATTATTTTTTTTTTAAAAACAAGGATTTATAAAGAAATCTGTATGTGCAAGAGGTGTGAAATATAAGAGCCGCTTTTAGTTAGAGACTTGTTTTTTAAGATATCCATACGATGTTATTGCTGCAGTATTTAGTCTCATGTATTGGAAGTTCAAAAATACACAACTGCTACTAGCCAAGAAACAATGTACCTTGGCTTAAGTTCATTTAAGCTATCTATGCAGTTGAAAGGGTTGAAGAAAAATTCTTTTGCTGAGGAAAAAGCAACATCAAGGAACTGGTAAGGCAGTTGTAATGTTAAACTTATTGGATATTACAAATCAGCTTCGAGGGAAGTACCTGAACTGGAACTTTCCAATTTATCGACTGCAATCAATTGGCCAGCTTCTTATTACGCCCAGAAATTACAAGTATTTGACCAGTGGGTTCCCCTAGGTTTTCATCATACAGAGAATCACCAAGCGCTTTAGCAGTGGCCTCAATAGGACCCATCCCTTCACCCCCACCCATTAATAAAACAGCAGGCAGATCTTCATCCATGCCTAACTCTCTTCGCAGTTCATCCTATTAAAAAGGTTAACAATTGATACTACAATCAGTAAGTTCTAGAAGACGGAAAAGATTCATAAAAATCAGTAGGACAATGATACACTGCAATTAGCTGAAGAAATTTTGTAGAATAGGTTTGACAAAAGAGGGTCGAACAGGGAGGCCATAGACTTTAATCTGTGAGGGCTTCAGACCAGCTTTTAGTGCTCTCTTTTCCACCTCAGTTGATGGACAGTAACATCTAGTGACAAGCTTATGGAACCTAAAGGGCAACAGTAGGATAACTATTTCATTGTAAGAGTGTATGTCTCACATTTTGATAGGAAACTACAAAGAAGCATTTGAGTTATGCAGAACACTGAGGCCAGCATACCATGTTGGGTGACAGGTGCTGAGATCCGTGACAACAGTTGTGAATGGGATCTTATCCAAGAGACCTTTGGATCTTAGAATTCGGAGGGGCACATGTTGCATTAAAGGGTGTACACTGATAATTACATCTGGTTGGTACTTCAGTAGACCTTTTGCAACCTCTCTGCATAAAGAAGTGGCAATTTCAGAGAGGCAGAGAGAGACAGAGCTAGCTACAGAACCTGATTAATGCTCATCTAACATCCCATGAGACCAACTGAGGCAATATGTCCCTATGCAGGTGCATAAGGACTTCAAGAACTGACAGATGCACAATTTTTAAGATGGACAATTAAATTATGTAAGGACCAAGCTGTAGGAAGCTTAAATTAAGTTATGTAATATTTTTTTATCACAAAAAAGGATCATTGAAAGAGGCAGTCCATGTATTCAAATTTCAATTTTACAGAAGGTGCATACAAATGTTCTTTGTTGATGTTTATGTATTTATCCAGTCTTAGTAGCAGCCATTTAGATCAACTAGTAGAAAAAAGACAAATCGAGGAGGAAAATGGTTCAACACCACCATATTGCATAAACAAAATTACAAAAGATGCAGCTACAACAGATACAACTACAACTTTGCCTCCTAGTACACTTGCAGCTAGACCTCATCATTCCAGAAAAAAAAAGCAAACAATTTAGCAAAATTACATCAAAGATAACTATGAATTAAACTAAATCAACAACTGTAAGTATAGTTGAACTCTACTGTAAACTACGAGCAATCACAACCGAGCATGATATCTACGAGCTAATACAGATAAACAGAGAAGACAAAACAATATTGACACTGACTATAACTCTTATATAAGGAAAAATATAGCTACTGTTAAACCAATTAAATTAAATAGATCACAAAAAAAAACATCATCAGAGACATTGAAACTGTAAGAACCAAGCTCAATTTGGCATAAAGCAAATTGCCTACTGCATCTTAACCAAAAAATAACTAAAAATCAATTGAGATTTACAGTTAAGCAAGACCATGATAACAATGGCACACCTGAGCAAACCTCCACTAACAAAAATTAACTAAAATACAAATACATAGAAGATGGAAAATGTTCGAAGTATGCCACAATATCGAACAGAGTTCATCAGCTACAAAAACCCAAAAACTTATCCATCATTCAAAAAGACTAACTACTACAATCACTCATGATCCATCTACTACAATCACTCATGATCCAAACCCTAATTAACAAGGACTAACAGAACAAACATGGATTCCATCTAGACCTTTGGGACAACAATATGCAACAGTCGATCAATGAGTTGATTGAGTTTAAAATAGTTACTGATTACAGTTAGATCATTGAGTTTTTCAACATTCCAATTAATTGGTAATCGATGGGTGGAAGTCTCAGATCATTTTTGGGCATGCAGCAAACATTTAGGTGAAATGGAGAACTCAACTCATCACACTATCACCGGACAAATACCTACACTCAAAAGGGAAAACCTCAAGCTCTCCACCTCATCCTCGTCGAACTCGTTGGCCCACCTACTGCTCGTCTGCGTGATGTAGTCTGGGGTGCTAAAAACAGAGGTTAATCTGAGACCGCATGTCAGGTCACCAAGAAACAAACACACAGAGGTCGGTCCGGAGACGACGGAAGAAACACCGGGTCAAGATGCAAAGCAATCCTTGTCAAAGTCTCTCAGACCACCGGGGATCACTAGAGAGTGGGAGGGCCCAACCCTCCCTCGCTCCCCTCCCTCCTCTAGGAGCGCATCGAAGGGCGTGAGGCCAGGCCGCCATTGATCCCCTGCGCCGGCAAGGAGATCCCACCGTCCGCCGCATCCAAATACCGTGCTCCACGCGTGGTGGGAAGAAGCCAGGAACGAGGAATGGACTAGGTCACTAGGAGAGTGGGAGGAAAGTCCTAAATGGAAATGGGGTGGGGAAGCCAAAACGAAATGGAAAGAGTCCTGAATGGAAATGGGGTGGGGGACGGACGCCACTGAATCGGACATGACTCCAAAAAAAATCAAAACTAGCGCCGTCCACAGGTTGGAGGCAAAGACCACATCCAACATCCAACATCCAGCATCCAGCAGACACGCGCGAGACGATCCAACGGACACAAAATCTATGTGCTAACAAACCAAAAAAACACACATATGTTGTATAGTATTCCTGTTTTTTTTATAATGAACTCACGGTATATATGTTGTTTATGTGATCATCATGCACACACACACGGGTCAGTCACAGATACAAACGACGTAGGCAGGCTTGCATTGGTTGTTTCGTCTGGGGATCAGGCCTGTCTCTAGTCCAGTGCGGCGTCCATCTGGAGGACGGTGCTGAGGTTCATGGGGCTGACGTAGTCGAGCGAGCCGGACATGAACTGGCTGACGATGAACCGGTTGGCGCGTTCCGTGGGGTGGTACGGGTCCCAGAACACGTACTTGCTCCGGTCGGCGCACAGGTTGGACGCCGGCGTGCAGAGCCCCAGCCCGTTGTGGGGGCCCTGGCCGCAGCACGCCTCCTTGGCCGTGGCGAAGCCGAACGCGGCCGGGTCGCTGACGAAGTCGAAGTGGACGCGGAACGCGTTGGCCGCGATGAAGGTGCCCGCGCCGAACCGCGCGTTGAGCTGGTCCAGGACGCGCGCCAGCTGCGGGTTGAAGAGCGACGCCGCGCGCATCAGCTCCGCCGCGCACTCGCCGTTGCGGCTGCGCTGCGCCAGGATCGCCGGCGCGCACCCGAGGGGACCCGTGCCCGTCACCAGCACGCGGCGGCAACCCATCGCGTACAGCCTCTGCATGCATGCACGCGTGCAGCAGTCAGAGACACCATAACAATGCAAGCAGTGTTTTTTTTTTTGAGGAAAACAGGAGGGTGCAAGCCCCTGCTGTGCTTGCGTACGATGAGGATCTTCTTGTACTCGGAGACGATGTAGCGGACGTAGTCCGGCAGCGAGAACTGGCGGGAGCGCAGGGAGAAGGGGACGAGGTAGTAGTTGTTGACGAAGTCGTTGCCGCCGAGCGTGATGAGCACCAGCGAGCGGCGCACCATCTGCCGTGCCCGGGCCGCGCCCACCAGCGCGCGCAGCTTGCCCTGGTACTCGCCGAAGTACTGCAGCTGCCGGCTCATCCTGATGATGTTCACCTGCATATATATGCATGGGTCCTCAAATCAAATCAAATATATATAAAGAGTTCCTGATGGATTGGGCACGACGACCATCGACCAGCACTACTCACGAACTGGAAGCCGGTGTCGTTGAGAATCCCGACGCCGGCTGACGCGAAGTTGGCGCCGACGAGCAGCTTCTGGTCGCGGAGCTCGGGGCTCAGGTACGGCAGCGTGGGCTCGGCGCCGAGGTGCTCGCCTGCATGCATGACAGATGCATGGGGTCGTTAGCGCGCGCGTACGTGGCAGCACCACATACGAGAGAGAGAAAGAGAGGGAAGCCGGCCGGCCGTACTGATGATGTCGGGGATGTTTTTGCCGTTGGAGAAGCGCCCCGTGGGGCGGTGCGTCGGGTAGTCGATCCCGTACGGCGGCGAGTCGGCGCGCGCCGTGGTCATCAGGTAGTTGTTGTTGCCGTTGTCCACCAGCGAGTCGCCGAAGACGAAGAAGGCGCGCGCGCACTCCGACGGCCTCGCCAGCATGCCCACGGCCACCAGCACGGCCGCCAACAAGGACAAGGAGGCAATGCCGCTCCTGCTCATCGTCGATCGGTCCTTGGAGTAGGTGAAGCGTTCAATCATGGCTTCTTCATGCACAACGCCACCTGCAGGCTGCAGCTCCAGGGCTGTCTGTTTATAAAGCATTGGCATTGCTCGATCATGGCCTCATGGGGGCAGTAGAATGATCGCATCCGATGGGACGGAATTAATCGAGCCACAATCTTAGATGCATGAAACTAATTAAATTGCTCCGCACTTCATTCATAAATTAACCTCCAAAGCTGCTGCTTCCGCGTTCCTGCATATGTACACTCCACCTTTCCCGATCAGTCCATCAGCATTAAGTTGTACTACTCGTATGTAATCACGCATATATACAATTCAGGATTATTTAAGATGACGTCATTTCTCTCGGAACGTGTAGATTAGAATGCCATCACTCACATTTTTTATGGAATAAATTTGTACCGGAGCTTTAAGATGGTTGGTACTTGCATCTCTCTCTTGGTCGTGAGATGTGACCGTGGAACAACCCCCTACTACTGACGAACAACAAACTAATGAAACCTCGTGTTTAGCCCATCATATACTCCGATTGTCAGTTACTGATCGCTCGTACGACCCCTCATTAACCTCCGTTTGTTTTCTGGTCCACGTGAAAAACGGTTTGTACCAACGAGATAAATTTTTTTTTAGGGACGGCTGATGATGGAGCCGCCCCTACAGTGGCGTATTCGGAATCCACGAGACCAGCCACCCTTACAAATGGAACCGCAGACGCGGCTGGTGATACGAGCCGCCCTTACAAATGGGTAGGATTTGTAGGGGTGGCTCACTCACCAGCCGCCTCCGGTGTTGCTATTTGTAGGGGCGGCTGGTGACTGAGCCGCCCCTACAAATGTCGCGACGGAAAACTTACGAGCAGCTGGGCCTGGGCCACGCCGGCCTTTCTGCCCACCCGAGAGGCACTTGCACGCATATAAAACAGAGGGTGCACACTGGCTAGGGTTTGGCACCCGCACTTGCCGCCGCCGGCCTCCTTCCGCACGCGCTCTCTCTCCCTCTGACACCAGCGCCGCCGGCCTCCTTGCTCCTCTGTCCGTGAGCTGCAGCGGCGTAGATCGAGATAGCCGCGTCGGACAGCCAGGCCTAGGAGGCGGTGGCCGCACGGACTAGGTAGGGCGCGGGCGGTGGCGGCGTCTGCGCCGATCCGGGAGACTAGGCCGCGTGGATCTGGCCAGCAGTGTGAGATTGGTTTATATGTACTTTTTCTAGCTTGCGAGCTCCAGCGGCCGGCGGGCCAGGCGACGTGCAGCTGTAGCCGCCGGCGGGCACGCGACGCCGCGACTGCTGCTGCGCTTAGGGCTGGGCGGTGGCACGGAACCCGTCGGCGCGGGGCTGCGAACGGCGGCGGCGGCGGCGCGAGGGCGGGGCTGCGGCAGTGCGGCCTGCAGGAGGCCACCGAGGAGCCAACAGCCAGCCGGCCGGTGCTGCAACTGCCGCGCTGGGTCGGCCGCCGTTGCCACCACCATAAGGTTTGGCGACAGCTGGCAGCTGCTGGAGTCTGGTGCCCCCTCATTGTCATGCTCCTCCGCCTACTTCACGCCCAAATCTGGTATCTGTTGTCATGGTGAGCTCTTACTTCTGATGGATTTGTGCATGATTGGGGATCTAGGGTTAGTACTACTGATGGATTTGCACATAGACGTACAGGTGATTGGCATTCTAGATTAAACTCGTATAGAGCAATCCTACATATTTTCCATTAGCAATTTGCCACTGAAATTTGCAATTGAAATTAGAAGATGGCGTTGCAGCAGGCCTTCTAGATTAAACTATTTGGGCTCTTATGTCTTCAAGTATCCGATTTAATAAATCCATGCTGTCAGAATAGTGTTTTACTCGTTTGATTTTATTTTTTAGTGCAATTTACAATGAAAAAGGTCGAACCTGTCATAATCAATATAGAAGCCTATAGTTATGTAATCCCAGGGAATCAAACTTAAATAGAGGAAGCTGTGATCCTTGGTCAATTATTACTGAACCTTAAACTCGTATGGAGTAGTAGTTTTTTTTCCCTGAAGTGGTGCTTGGTTAGAGACAACAATGGTGGTAAAGCAGCAAATCTGCTTCTCTAGGTTTCCTGAGCGTAAACTCTTGCCCACTTGAATATACGCAGTATAAAACAGATCTATAATTTACTTTTCTACTAATTTCTTTCTGGTTAAATGCTTTTGTTTTGCTGTTTTTTTGTCTTTATGTCCAGATGACATCAGCTGTATTAGTGAGGTTCAATTCCTTAACCTGATCATACTAGAAAGAAGATCCAAATATTGGATGCGCTCTAGCTATTTATTCCAGCTTTATTCAACTGCTCTCCGATGTCCCCCCTTGCGAAATCTTCCTTTTTTTCTGGTGCTTGTGTGCTTATGCTTCGTTTGGGCCTTCGTGTTTGATCACTGCAGGACGTGAGCAACATCTGGGAAGGTCCCTGACCATCAGGTTTATAAGATCCTGCTTCCAATTTCTTATCTGCATAGATGTGTTCGTGTTGTTTGGGGATACCTGCTGCTGCTTTCAAGCTACTGGAATATGCTAGATTTAAACATGTGTAAAGCATAATGCAAGCTCTCTGACACTGCTAGCCTAATTTGAGATACTGAAGCTGATAATAGTAATGCTTCTCTCATTTGAGATACTGACATATTGCTTCTGTATTTTTAATTTGTCCTCATTGTTTTCTATGCCTATATAATATATAGTGATCAAATTTAGGATCTTCTTTGTTGAGATTGGTTTATATGTACTTTTCTAGCTTTTGCAGGCCTATTCTTTACCTTGCAATGCAACTATTCGTATTTGAATGTCTTCTGGGATGCCTGATTACTTGATTAGCAAAGAACTATAATGGCTCAAATGTACTGTGTAGGTAGTTCTAGTCACAAGCAAACTTGGACCATATCCTCACGAGAAATAACAAGTTGTGACAGCACTTTTAGATTGTCAGTATGCACTTGTGATACCTAGAGTCCGACACCTGAATTGCTTATCATATGCTATTACAGTATTTCATAGATATGTTGTATCATGTTAAACTCTGCCATAAGTGAACTTTGAATTTACTTGATCATAATAAATTATATTCATCTATCCTAAATTCTTGATGCATAGATATCGTTAAATTAACTTACGTCCACACTAACATCATACTTGTTGTGTTGTTGACAAAATATTGCAATTGTTTGGCCTGCTAATATTTTGCCAGAACACATTTCCCTTTCTGTCACTAACATATCAGATCCTCTGTATATGTGCAGGACCTGATGCAGACAAAATTTCTGTCCGTGTAATTGTTGACAATCAATCTTGTGATCATTGTCCCAGCAACTTTGACAACCCAGAGGAAGGAAATTCAACACATAACGACTATCAGAAAATTTACAGGAACAGACTTCGGATGTTTCTGCCCAGAGTTCAGCTGCCAATTCTATGATTTCCTACAGTTGTCCTGATATATCAGCATGTCTACTAATTGGAGATTTGAGATATATTGTATATATTCTTGTAAATTGGACTTGTAATGGTAGTTTATACAATGTTCTTATGCTTGTGGTCAGATTTGAATTATATATGTTCTGTTCAGATTTAAATTATAGAAAAATCTATTTAACCCCCCCTTCATACTTGGTCTACTTCATCCCTCAACTATGAAACCGTCTGTTTTACCCCCTGAACTTTCTAAAACCGTCTATTTTACCTCTTGGAAGGTTTTCAGCGACGGGTTGCTACAGTAAACAGCGGTTGCTACAGTATCAGTGGTTTTGAATTTTCTTTTTTTATTTATTTCCGGTGAATTTTTGAAAAATCATAGAAAAATCATAAAATGAAAAATCTAATTTTGTTGGACTCTACATGAGTAGATCTACATAGTGAATATATAATACGGTATGCTTTAGTACAAAATTTTTACTGTAGCTTTAGATTAATTGAAAAATCTAATTTTGTCTGTAATTAATTGGAATAATTCATAGCTGTAGCTTTTATGGTCCAATTGTGGTGAAATTTTTATGGTACGCTAATTATTGTATGCTTGAACTATAGTAAAATTTTCGTAATCATTGGATTATATATAACTTAGTTATAGATAAATTCTAATTAATTACAGACAAAATTGGATTTTTCAATTAATCTAAAGCTACAAAAAAATTGTACTAAAGCATACCGTATTATATATTCACTGTATAGATCTACTCATGTGGAGTCCAATAAAATTAGATTTTTATTTTATGATTTTTCTAAAATTCACCGAAAATAAATAAAAATTGAAAACCACTGTTACTGTAGCACCCGCTGTTACTGTAGCAACCGCCGCTGAAAACCATCCAGAGGGTAAAATAGACGGTTTTAGAAAGTTCAGGGTGTAAAATAGACGGTTTCATAGTTAGGGGTGAAGTAGACCAAGTATGAAAGGTGGGGGTTAAGTAGATTTTTTCCTAAATATATATATATATATATATATATATATATATATATATATATATATATATGATCGAATTTAAATTGTAAATTTAAATTTTTTTTAACCGAAAAATATACTGTAGAGGCGGTTGATACTGTAGCCGTCCCTACAAATCGATTTGCAGAGACAGCTGGTGTTATCAGCCGCCCCCTACAAATCGATTTGTAGGGACGGCTACAGTACCAACCGCCCCTATAAATACATGATTTGTAGAGATAGTATGGTAGGGGCGGCTGGCTGAGCCACCTCTATAAACGATCTCCAGCCGTCCCTACAAATGCTTATTGTAGCAGTGGTCGTCACCCGTGATGAGCTTACAAGAGTTAATTAAAGAGAGGCTGTAAGATAGGTCGAGGTCCTTAAATTAAATACGTGCCAGTTCCAGCAGTTCAGTGGCACCTCAAAAGTGGATGGAATCACGCCAGGATCGGTGACTGGTGTGAGCATGTCTTGTCGCATTCCTAGCTCTCTGCAGGTACCGTACGTACAGCCCCACTGCATGACTGCATCTCCCATTTCCCACATCCATCCCCTGCGTCGCCGTCGCTCACGAGAAGAGAGGTCTTGGAGACGACGGGCATCGGGACGACGGGACATGTACAGCCATGCGTGATCGATCGACGATCGGGCA